TTTGGATACCTAAAAAGCTTTTCCACCAGAGGCAAACTCTCCACTCCCAGCGGCTGCCGATAGCCCAGCTGATCGAGACGCTTCCTGAGATTAATGAACTTTCGCTCTGCGACTGTGGTCATTGTGAACACACCTCCAACTTGCTTTCTCCCAATGACGAAAAACAAGTCACCTGCAAAAGATTGTCTGTTATAATACCTGTCCTTTAAAATCATAGTGTGGCAGAAAACAATGATGGAGTTTTAGACAAAACAATTAAAAACTTTTAGAAAGGAAGAAAATTACACTTTTTTACAAAGATACGTTAACCTTGAAAATCAGTTGCTTCCATTTGATCATTTAATAACGTTTTGCAATATGAACATACAAATTCTCTTGCTCGTCTGTAAGAACTGAAGTCTGAAAATATTTTACTACAGAAGATAATCAAATCAGTGGGTTCTGATTCTTTAAATTATAGTYATCATGGTATCTTTCACAAACCAAATTGGCAGTTCATTTTCCAAAATGACACAGACTTTTTTTTCTATGATTCCTCCTTAGTAATTTATTTTCTGCTACCTTGTGCAAAAACATTTTATACACCTGAGTATCCCTGTCACCTCTGTGTCTTTTCAAAGCCTGAGAGCACTTCTGAGCACCTTGTTTTTTGAAATGCGGCTGCACCAAAGATTTATACAGCAGTCAAAGATTTTTTTAAATGAGTGATAACAGCTATCCCAGAGCCCCTAACCTGCACTGTTATCACTCAGCCCCCTAACATTCTTTTGCAACTTTTTGGACAGCTCTTAATTTCATACGATGAGCAAGTTTTTGTTCCTTTTGTTCCTGAGTCATTCCTCAGATCACTTATCAGTGTTAAATAGCACTAACTTTTTCTTCCACATCCATAAGAGATATATTTTCTCAAAGGCTTTGGTAAAGAACTCAACAGTTTTCCATAATTCAAGTGTTCATCACCAGTATTATTCTTAGCCAGTCAGGTCAACCCAGAACATTATTGTCTTTAAAGAAATTTAAGAGTCTTGTGAGTCTTTCTGAGTSATGTCAATGGGGCACGTTGAGCCTCTTGGACTGCTGTGCAGTTTTGCTAGGACGTACTCAAACAACCTTGTATCAATATGGCATTTCCCACAGAAGAAGGGCTGCATTCACTACCTAAGTAGCTCACACGATCCATTATCTAAATATTTCAGGTACATTAGCACTCCTAGAAAGAAAGTACAGTTTCCATTTTAGATGAGAAACATAAAATAAGATAAAGAAATGAAAAGGGACCAAATGGTACCATCAAGCAGGCACCTCCAGACRAAACTTTATCAAGATGTCTAAATCAGCAGACCTTTCATTTATTCACAGGAGTGAACATAGAGCAAATAGCCCCACTTTTTTGTTTCATCTTTGTTCATAAAAACTGCTAAAGAGGGCAACTGTCATATGCTCATTCAGTGAGATGCCTGGATGTTTGTGAGCAGAAATCTGAAACTGAGATTTTCTTTATGGCAATATTATGTATTTTGCATCTGTGAACTTCTAGACCACAAATGACAGAAATGGAACATCAACACGGGCAATGGGCAATAATGCAATCACAGTATTGAAGAACTAGCTACAGAAGTACATAGCCAAGCTACATCAAACTGCATAAAAGAAACAGGGTTAGCAGGAAAGGGTATTCTTTCTATTAGACCAATCGAAAAGGTGAAAAAGGCTTCAGCACATTCAAGTTCTCCCATCAGCCTCAAAATAATGCAGCAAACCTCAAAGTGAACACAGGTTAAAGGCTGTTCCACATGGAAAATGTAGCAATTAAAAGGACAAAAAGATGAATCTTAGMAGTGAAAAAGGCAATATGATCATTAACCCACATGAACAGAAATTAAGACTACATAGTCAACAATGGATGGAAGTTAGCAAATTAACATGCCACAAAAATAGCTTCTTTATTAAGTCCATAAAGTTAACAAGGAATTTTTTTTTCTTTTTTGGAAAACACCAGATTTATTTTTCATTCACAAGGGCTGCGCAGCAGAACYGAGGGCATTTGCTCTGCAAAGCGTCTGTTTCTGGTAGTCATGGAGCTCACTTTACTCTAAAAGGGGAGGTTTTCTGTTTGCTTGTTTGTTTTCCCAATCACACGAAGAAGGTAGCTAGTGGTCTAGGCTCCCTCTATCCTATTGTATTAGTGATCCCAGCTGTGCCGTGACGGGCAGCTGCTGTAAGGCATTTTTCCAGGCACCCCGAGTTCGGCCGAATTTGCCGCGTTGGCRCGGCCTGCTGGCAGCCGGTTTGCCGGGAGCTCCCCGCTCACCAAGATTTTCGGGCCCTCACTTGCAACGTCACCGACCCGCCAGCAGAAAGGCGGCTCTCCCTCTAGGAAAGCGGCTCTAGGAAACAAATGCTAAAAACTATAACCTTACCTTATAGCCAATCTCGCCAAACCGCAGCCTGCCTGGAAGACACTTCACCACAACCCAGGCCTACGGAGGAGCCGTTTCTTTTGAAACGGGATTATTTTTCCCTTCCGTGCGGACGTTTCGGGAGGCTCGCAGCTAGGAGGGGACGCGGGGCCGCAGCCGCGCAGCGGCCTAACGAGCCCGGACGCGGCCCCGCCGCCCCGCCCGCCGCCTCCCTCCGCTCCTCGGCGGCCTGGCCCAGCGAGGCCCGCGGGGCGCCCGCCGCTCCCCGCAGCGCTCCCGGGGGCCGCCTGCCCCGCTCCGCAGGCCGCGGCGCGGCCGTTTGAAAATGGCGCGCGGCGCCGCGGCCGCTTCCGCCCCG